TGATTAAATAAAAATCAGTTCATTTAAATAATGGTTTCATTGGCTTTACAAATTAAAGCAAATGAAAATGTTTACACAAGATAATCAAAGTTATACAGGGTTCTAGAAATTGACTTTCAAATAATCGACTTTTTATAGAAAAAAAATCAAAACAAGAGATTTTTTTGCGACTTGCTTGTTTTTTTAATAATTTAAAAAAAATTAAGAGAGCTATACGACTGTCAAATTTTCCATCCGTATTTTCTCTTAATTTTCTCATATTGCGTTTAACAGAAAAGTTGTGCTGAAATGTTGCAACGTGTGAAATGCGTCAAAAACAGTGCTGCTAACTATTTTTTCGAATTGCAGAGGCAAATACAATGTTTATGTTGTCTGAAATATAGAAAATTAAGATTTTTATTATAAAAAATATAGAAACATTAAGAATTTTCTATAAAAATTTTAAAATACAACAAATTATTTATTCTTATAGATAGAAAATTAAAAAATGTTTCATCAAAAATAAAGAAATTTGAACAATTTTATTTAAAAAATTACAATTTTCTATTAAAAAAGCGAAACTTGAACAATTTCGTATAAAAATAAAGAAAATTGATCAATTTTCTATAATAATAAAGAAAATTATTATTTTTTTTATAAAAAAAGGTGAAATATGAATGTTGCTTTTTAAAATTTTCTATAAAAGTTAAGAAAATAGAATAATTTTTTATAAAAATAAAAAAAAAAATTCTATAGACATAAAGAAAACTGAAAATTTTTCTATTAAAACTGAAAAAATTTAATAATTTTTTATAAAAAGTAAAGAAAATTGATAAATTTTTAATAAAAATAAATAATTTTTCAAAAATTTCTATAAAAATAAAGAAAATTTAACATTTTTGTACAAAAATAACGAAAGTTTAAAAATGTTTTATAAAAATAAAAAAAAAATCAACTATTCTTTATAAAAATAAATAATTTTGAAACATTTTCCATAAAAAAATAATGAAAATTAAAAATTTTTTTTTTTTTAAATAAAGAATTTTAAAATATTTTCTATAAAAATAATAAAATTTTCCAAATTTCGATACAAATAAAGAAAATTGAAATAATTTTTTAAAAATAAAAAATTTTGAAACATTTTCTATAAAAATAAAAAAAAAATAAATTAAAAATGAAAACAAAGAAAATCTAAAATTTTTTTATAAAAATAAGAAAAATTTAACAATTTTCTATAAATATCAAGAAAATTTAAAAATTTTTTATAAAAATAATTTTTGTATAAAACTAAATAAATACAAATTTCTATAAAAGGTAGGAAAATTTAAAAATTTTATGAAAAAATAAACGAAAATTTAAAAATTCCCTATAAATATCACAGAAATTTAAAAATTTTCTATTAAAATAAAGAAATTTGCACAATTTTGTATAAAACTAAATAAAATTTTACAATTTTCTATAAAATTAAGGAAAATTGAAAAATTTTATAAAAAAAATAAACAAAAATTGAAAAATTTTCTTTAAATGCATATAACGAAAATCGAAAAATTCTCTATAAAAATAATGAAAATTTAAAATTTTTTTTTATAAAAATTAATTTTGAAGCATTTTGTATAAATTGAATAATTTTCTATAAAAATTCAGAAATTTAATTTTTTTTTTTTACAAAAATTTTGAATTTTTCTATAAAAATAAAGAATTTTGAACAATTTTTCTATTAATATTACAGAAACTTTCTATAAAAATAAAGAATTTTGAACAATTTTTCTATTAATATTACAGGAACTTTAAAATTTTCTATACAAATAAAGAAATTTGAACGATTTTGTATAAAACTAAATAAAATTTAACAATTTTCTATAAAAAGAAAGAAAATTTAAAAATTTTATATAAAAATAAACAAAAATTGAAAAATGTTCTTTAAATATAACAAAAACTTAAACGTTTTCTATAAAAATAATGAAAACATAAAAATTTTCTATAAAAATTAAGAATTTTGAAACATTATATATAAAAAAATAAATAATTTTCTATAAAAATTTAGAAATTTGAACATTTTTGTACAAAAATTAAGAAAATTGAACAATTTTGTACAAAAATAAAGAAAATTTTAAATTTTTTATTAAAAGAAAGAAAATTAAAATTTTTTTAATTAAATATTAAACAAAACAAAGTTCTACAACATAAAATTCATACCCAAAAAAGTTGTGATGCAATATTTGTCTAAATTTACTAACATTCTCAAAACATCAAAAAATCTAAAAAAACTTTCGGTGTCATTTTTAACTGAAGGTGTTCTGTATAAAATTACTTACTTTAAAATTACAGTCATGAAAAAAACTGAATTTAATTTTTTTAACTTTTTTTCGAAAGTGAAATTCTACTTAGTCACGTTTATTTTAAAAAATTTTACAAGTTTCTTATTGTTGTTATTGGCACTCCAAAAAATACATATTTGACTTTAACCTTGATATTAAAAAACTTTAATTTATTTTAGTTTTTTTTTTTTTTCAAACAATGACCTACAACATAAAAAACAAATGTTTATTTAATATGTTTACAGAATTTTAAATACAAATAGAAAAAAAAAATTAAATAAATATCAAATATCAAAACATACAATTACTCTGGGGGTAAATTAAAAATTGTTTAAATGCTACATTTAAAGTGAGAAGAAGAAAAAAACCCAACAAAAACAATAGACATGTGATAAATTTTTTAAAAGGCCAAAATTTTAAATGTTTTTTTTTTTTTTTTGAATTGATACAAACTCGTGATGATGTGCTAAAATGATTTGTGGCTGTATTAAATGTTTCTATAAATTTCTTTTATTTTTAATGATTTAATTATTTGTTTATTTAAAATATTATGACAAAGTTATTAAAAATATCGTGGAAAATTTAAGGATTTTGCCATATTAAGCGTTTTTTTTTTTTTTTTTGTTAAATTATATGATTTTATAGGCATCACTTAAACAGCTGATTGACAAACTTCATTTGTATATTATTATGTTTTGTTTACATTATGTCCTTGTTTGTGTTGGGGGGTAGCTTGCCAGATTATTTCATTTATTCGCTAATGCCAAATACTTTATTCTGTAGGTTCATGACCATTTTTATTTGTTTATTTAATTGTTTTCGTATTTATAAGGAAATAAATTTCTAATTTCTCTTTTATACTTTGCTTTTAGATAAAACTGATTATTTATGTTTTTTATTATTGTTTTCTTTGGTTTGTATATTCTTTTGTTTTGTTTAACCTAAATTTGTATGGTAATTAAATAATAATAGTTGACGTTGGTGGCCCAAAAGATGTTTTAATATTGATATTAATGGTAATGACCTGTATGTTTGGACGGCCATCAACCGGTGGGAACTTTAATAATAATTTGTTTAAGGAAATAGAGCACTTGCGCTTACATTTGCTTAATAGTTTAATTTTGTTTTTTGTTCTCAAGAATAAAAGTTGATAAATTTATTTGATAACCTTGTAATGGTATTTATTTCAGATTATTGAACTTTATTGGAAAGGTAAATGGAATAATGAACTATGTTTAAATTAGGTTCAGATTGAAGTAAACTATAAAATGTAGTTTTGTATTTTGAAAATTCTATAAATTTAAAAAGAAAATTCAACAATTTTCTATAAAAATAAATAAAATTAAAAAAAATGTCTATAGAAATAGGGAAAATCGAATAATTTTCTATATAAATAAAGAAATTCGAACAATTTTCAATAAAATTACAGAAACTTAAACAGATTTCTATAAAAATAAAGAAAAAAATAAAAATTTCTATAAAAATTAAGAAATTTAACAATTATCTATAAAAAGAAAGAAAATTTAACATTTTTTTATAAAAATAAAGAAAATTGTTAATTTTTTATAAAAATAAAGAAACTTGAACAATTTTCTATAAAAATAATTGAAAGAAAATAATATAAAATTAAAAATTACAAAAATTTTGTATGGACATCCATAAGAATATTTTTTGACAAAATGGGCGGAATGACTATAGTGGGCGTGGCACCTTCCATATGAAGAAAATATTAAATCAGTATATCTGAGAAAATATAACAGTCCTCAAATTTGGTCGGAACCACTTTAGTGTCAATATGATTATTTAAGGAAAAAGGGGGCGGACTAGCAGTAGGGGGAGTGACACCTCTCATATGAATTAAATAAAAATTTTCGCTTATCTGGGAAACAATTATCTAAAAACAGTATTTTAAAAGTTTAAAACCCTAGTTAACATGAACCGGCCAAAACCCGTTTAAATCTTATTGTTAATTCCTTTATTTTTTTAAAACTTTTTTTAAATGTCAAAATTGAAATGCATTATTATTTATTATTTTTTTGTTTGCATTTTAATTATTTATTGTGTTTTTTTGCTCATCTCATATCGACTAAATTTAAATTCTTTCTAATTTATTCTGCTAAAATAAAATTAAATTTGATTATGGGGATTTTTTAAAAATAATTTACACAATAAACTGTTTTTAAGAAAATAAATTTTACTGCTAAAAACACAACAACAATAAATAATTTGCATTTAAATTTTATTGATTGCCGTTAGAAATTTTAATAAAAAAAAGGTTTTTTTCATAATTAAAAAAATATATTTGTATAATTAAAATGAAACATGTAACAAAAAGTAAAGAAACGTGTTAAAATAATCATCATATAAATACATTATTAATATTATAAGCAGACATGCTTTTTCGTTATAGGGAATAACAATTATATGGATTTATTAAAGTTAAATTTGAAAAAAAAATATACTGTAAATTAATTTTAAAGTTAATTATTTAAATTTGATTGTGCTTAAATAATGAACTTAAAATTAATCCATTAATTAAAAAAAAACATAACTTTAAGTTAAATTTTGAATAAAATGTTTTCGTTTTCTTTGTTTTCATTATAATAGTATAAGAATGTTAGAAAATTTAATTTTAACTATAAAAACATAATTTTTCATAAATTTTTTTTTAAATATATGTATGTTTTTTTTTCTTCTTTACAGGTGAGAACTTATTTTGCAGTTCAAACAATTTTTTGAAATTTGTAAGTGGAATTCTTAAATTTATAAATTTAAATACTTTTATTTTATTTAAAAATTTTACAAAAATATTTGTCCAATTCACAATAGGCTATTGTCTAGTCGATAATAGACTAATCTATAGTCCAGTCTATAGTCTAGTCTATAGTCTAGTCTATAGTCTAGTCTATAGTCTAGTCTATAGTCTAGTCTATAGTCTAGTCTATAGTCTAGTCTATAGTCTAGTCTATAGTCTAGTCTATAGTCTAGTCTATAGTCTAGTCTATAGTCTAGTCTATAGTCTAGTCTATAGTCTAGTCTATAGTCTAGTCTATAGTCTAGTCTATAGTCTAGTCTATAGTCTAGTCTATAGTCTAGTCTATAGTCTAGTCTATAGTCTAGTCTATAGTCTAGTCTATAGTCTAGTCTATAGTCTAGTCTATAGTCTAGTCTATAGTCTAGTCTATAGTCTAGTCTATAAGTCTAGTCTATAGTCTAGTCTATAGTCTAGTCTATAGTCTAGTCTATAGTCCTAGTCTATAGTCTAGTCTATAGTCTAGTCCTATAGTCTAGTCTATAGTCTAGTCTATAGTCTAGTCTATAGTCTAGTCTATAGTCTAGTCTATAGTCTAGTCTATAGTCTAGTCTATAGTCTAGTCTATAGTCTAGTCTATAGTCCTAGTCTATAGTCTAGTCTATAGTCTAGTCTATAGTCTAGTCTATAGTCTAGTCTATAGTCTAGTCTAATAGTCTAGTCTATAGTCTAGTCATAGTCTAGTCTATAGTCTAGTCTATAGTCTAGTCTATAGTCTAGTCTATAGTCTAGTCTATAGTCTAGTCTATAGTCTAGTCCTATAGTCTAGTCTATAGTCTAGTCTATAGTCTAGTCTATAGTCTAGTCTATAGTCTAGTCTATAGTCTAGTCTATAGTCTAGTCTATAGTCTAGTCTATAGTCTAGTCTATTCTAGTCTATAGTCTAGTCTATAGTCTAGTCCTATAGTCTAGTCTATAGTCTAGTCTATAGTCTAGTCTATAGTCTAGTCTATAGTCTAGTCTATAGTCTAGTCTATAGTCTAGTCTATAGTCTAGTCTGTAGTCTAGTCTATAGTCTAGTCTATAGTCTAGTCTATAGTCTATCTATAGTCTAGTTAGTCTAGTCTATAGTCTAGTCTATAGTCTAGTCTATAGTCTAGTCTATAGTCTAGTCTATAGTCTAGTCTATGTCTAGTCTATAGTCTAGTCTATAGTCTAGTCTATAGTCTAGTCTATAGTCTAGTCTATAGTCTAGTCTATAGTCTTGTCTATAGTCTAGTCTATAGTCTAGTCTATAGTCTAGTCTATAGTCTAGTCTATAGTCTAGTCTATAGTCTAGTCTATAGTCTAGTCTATAGTCTAGTCTATAGTCTAGTCTATAGTCTAGTCTATAGTCTAGTCTATAGTCTAGTCTATAGTCTAGTCTATATTCAATCTATAATCTAGCGGAAAATTAGTTTAGAATTTTTAAACCTAAAAAATATTATAAAATTTCAGTTATCCATGCCTGGTCGCAATAGGTGTGATTACAACAAAAATAAGAATTAAAAAACATTTTCAAAACAAAGTACATTTTTAACAAAAAGTACTTTTTGTTAAATAAAGAACAGTTTTCAAATAAATTACCTTTTAAGGAAAACATTTCATTACCAATTTCTTTTTAAACATTTTCTTATCATTTTTCTATCCAAAAATACGATTTTTATTAAACAAACTTTAATATTATCTTTGTTAATAAACCCTACAACTTTCAATTCAATACAAATTCAATCAAAAATTTCAATTTTTTTTTTTTTAAATTTTAATTGATGATTAATTTTGTTTGTAATTTTTATCAATCATCTAGTAACTTTTTTTCAAATTCAACAATTATCTTTGTTTAGTGACCCAAAACCTGCAATTATAAGCAAATAATATTTCAGTTTTTATTTTCAACTCTTTTTCTATAAACAACTACAATAAAAAAACGAATAAAATAGTTAAAGTATGAGTTTTTACTGTTTTTGTTACAACTGCAATTTTCAAAATCACTAGACCAAAGATTTCAAAAAATGGAATTCAAAAAGCTGACACCAACAAAAAAAAAAAAACAGTACAAACAACATTTGTTAATGGAAACAACAAAAAATGAAATAAAATTGCTGTACATCATTGAAAATAAATAAAAAAATGATGTTGACCCAGAAATACTCGTAAAAGCAATTAATAGTTTTGCGCTGTGGTGTAAAAAACGCGTGTTATAGTGTAAAACAAAACCTCAAACAAATAAAAAACATATTTTTTTTTTTTTTTTTTGGAAATTGTTTACATTTTTCTATTGTTTATGTTTAAAAAATTTAGGAATAAATATATTCTCTACAACCCTCCTTTTAATAAAATCCACACACTTGTTGAAAAACTAAATTACTTCAATTCTATTCAATTGTAATTGAATTTGTGAAAAGAATTTCTAAACAGCAGTTTTTGTAAAGAAAAGAATTATTTAGTTAGAAGAAAACAAAACAACAACAATTTCTATAGTATTTTGCTCAAGTGTTGGTCTCAGTCTGTCCGTTAAAAGCAAACGGTCAATTGGTCAATATGCTTTTAAGTTGTCTACATGTAAATAAAATGAAATTAATGTAATTTATTTATGCTGTTTTTATCCATTATTTTCATAGATTGCTTAACAATAGCATTTTGTAATTTTATTAAAAAAAAGTTATTATTGCATTTTACTTTGCTGCGGAGCATATTTGTTTAACCCTTTATTAATGGTTTTCTGAATTTGTATTCTGCGGAAAACATCTATATAATTAATAGGCAAGACGATTTTTTGTGACCCCTTTTACTCTTACAGTATACATCTGATCTTGGCAAAAATTATATCATTTTAAAGGTATTTGTTCGCAGATGTGCACAATATATATATTAATGAGATCGGTTCAGAATTTTAGGAGCTATAAGAGTTTAAACTTGTTACTAATACATAGAAACAATAGTCACACGTACGTATTCTTGAAATTAAAAACAAACAAAGCAAGAAACAAAACAAAAAAAGTAAACAACACGGCTTTTTGAAAAAAGAGAGGAGAGTGCAGAAACGTTTAACTTCTCTGTTGCTGTTTGATTTTTGTATTTTGCATGATATTTGTTTTTGTTGTTGTTTTTAATAAGGCTTAGGCAACGCGAAAATAGGATTTTATTGTTTTATATTTTTGTGTAAAGTGCTAAGTTGTGAATGAGATAATGATCTATTTTGTTATAATATCGTTACGATTGTTACCAAATCGAAAGGAATATTTTTATAAGAAGTAGGACTTCAGTTTTATATTCAGAGTTTTCGATTGGAAGTTTTTCGTTATTTAAACTTTTCAAAATAGTTAAATTGAAGGACATTCCCGAGGAAACAACGAACTGGGAATATAAAAACATGCGTAAATAATGCTTGGGGACACCTAAAGAAATGCCAAACAATGTACTGATATTGGTGTTTGAACTGGAAAATTATTGGTAGGACATCAGTACCGGAATTCAGTAATTTTTTTTTTTTTTTTAATTTTAAGTATTGATATCTAAAAGTAATGACAAATATCAGTTACATTAACGAATTTCCCTAACTTTTTAACAACCGTAGAATATTTTAAAGACAAATATCGGAAAAATATAAGAATGTCAAAAGTTATGTATTGAAATATTTTTAAAATATAAAATTATTAACGTGAACTTTTAATTTATTTTTTACTTTTTCGATTATGTTTAAAGAAAAAAATCGGTGAAATGAAGTTCAGAATACATACCACATAACGACAAAATGTTGTAGTTAAAAAAAATACTGAATTGCGGTACATAATTATTAGTTTTGATTGATTTGGAAGATTTAAATGATGGATTAACGAATTGATTCAGTGTCAGTAAGAAATAAAAATAGCCTGTAAAAAATATAAATAAAGTTTAGTTGGTCATGCCGGTATATGATACACCGCAATAAATGATATGTATATCGCTTATATGCAGGTTTAGCACAGCGAGGACTTGATGATATTCTTCTTTTTTTGGGCTATTCTAACCAATTAGGAAATAGTAGTGTAAAGTGAAAACTGTAAGTTGAATATGTGATGGTTATTTGTTATATAAAAATAGATACAAGTTGAAACTGCTAAATATAAATCATGTCTTTTGGGATGAAGAGTGTTTAACCGTACTTAGCAATTTATCGTTTATTATTCATTTACTTGCTATTAAAGCTTGCATATATTAACAAAAGACTGAAATTTATAGTTTATTAATGTTTTCTTTCAAACAGTACTAAAAACAGTACTTGAGAAATTAAGGCCTTATTATGCATATACAAAATCAGTGTGTAATTGGAAGCCAATGCATATCGTTATGCGGTTCTATATGAAGGCTAATAAAAGGCCCATTAGAAGGCCTCATAGAATATCTACTATTAAATTCTATTAGAAGACATTAAAATTGAATAAATGTATGTCTGCTGAAGTCTTTGTCGAGTGTTATAAGGGAAAATTTATACAACATATACCTGTTGGATGGACTACTAATGACATCCAAATAAAATTTATTTATAATTAGATAAGACATTATTTATTTTAAATATTTTTACTGTTTTCACAAATTATTTAGAACATTTCAACTCTGTATTTTGAACAGCTAACATTTCTTTACTGGTGTGTACACTGTACAGTAGAGTACTCCAGCATTGTGAACGATGCGTAAATATGTAGGGGATAATAAGTCGATAGAAGAAATGTTCGTTATTTTTTATTATTTTTAAAATAGTTGAAATACTTTTGTAAAACAAGTTGTATAACTAATTTTGACAATTGAGGTTTTAAATTTCTAATGTAAGTTTTACTAAAACCCATCACATTTTCTAAAAGAAAACATTATTCAAAGCAAATTATACACTTTGATAATATCAATAAAGTTAATTTTTTACCACAGATTTGAACTACAAAAATAGGGTTTTATTTTAGCTTATTTATGCAATTT